TCCTTTGCTTCCACATGTGGGGCTGGGGGGGGGGGACACTTTCGTGTTGGTCTGGGACGATGCCCTTGTGGAAGACATCGGGCAAAGCCTACGTGAATTGCCTGGGGTTCTGGCTTTGCACCCAGCTGTAGGTTTTGGGGCACGTAAAGCTCTGGGTAGCCCAGGGTAGCCCTGTCTCGTCAGATTTCGGACTCGGTAGCCAAGCAAGGCCAGCTCTGGAGTTCATGCTAGCTTCCTTGTCTTGAGACATTTGGAGCAGGCCCCTCCCCAGCTGCTGGTGTCCTGGCATCATGTCGGGCACACCTCTGTCCTGGGCACCCGCTTCCCCTCTTTTTGCACTCTCTGCCCCCCCCCCAGTAAGTTCCCAGGGCTGGGTGAGAAAGGAAGGGAGAAGGACCGGCACAGTTGCTTCCTCCTGCCCCTCCCGCCTGAATCCAAGGGCCGTCCCCCCCCCCCCAACCCTTCCCCACACAACCCCCCCTCCAACTAACCCCTCCCAAGCATTATCCCCCCCCCCAAGTTTGCAATCCCATTGCCCTGCCCTATGCACGGCATGTAAGTAAGGGCCCACGAGAACTAAGCATTGTTCCTGCCCTCCCTTCCCGTGATCTGCCCGAGTTCACACAAAGAAAGAAAGGTGCCGTGCAAAACGTTGGAGAAGATCAGTGCAAGGGGGGGGGGAGTGGGCGAAAGCAGGGGAGGGGAGGAGAAAGGGGGTCAAAAGGAAAAGGACAGCCAGAGAAGGAAGAGGAGCAGAGAGGGGGGAAGCCAGTGAAGCCCCCTGCTGCAACGGAGGGAGCAAGGCGCAAGGGAAGGCGGGGGAGGGGGAGAACTGCAGACACACCGTGGCGCCCTCTGAGGAGCAAAGGGCGAGTGGAGCAGCACCAGTGAGCCGAGCAGCATGGCTTTTGGCAAGCCAGGCAAGCCCCAGGAAGGGGAGGGGTGGCAGACAAGCAGGCCAGCACAGCGCCCTCCAAGAAGCAGGGCGAGCCGAGCAGCGAGCCGAGCAGGGCTTTGGCAACTGGCGCGCGAGCAAGGTGGGGGAGGGGGGCGGC